TTTTTTAATGGCCAGTAATATGCTAAGACAAAACAAAAAAAAGAACCGCCGCCGATAAAATTTATCAATAGCGGCCGCTGCCGTTGGGCCTGGCCTCTCTGAAGGCCCCCGAAGAATGCACTATAGGTTCGATTCCCAACTGGAACGGAACGCCACTGTGAAAGTTAGTGGCGGCTTAAGCTTATGATGATGGATGATATCATCGTAATCGTGAATCATGATCTAATAATTGTATCGCATCAGCATGTGCAAAATGAGGAAAGCTCTCTCTCTTAGACAAGGAGGTGATGAAGATGATTGCTCGCCAATTTGTGATGAAAATGATTGATTGCTGGCCAATTTGTGATGAAGATGATTGATTGATTGCCAATTTGTGATGAAGATGATTGATTGCTGGCCAATTTGTGATGAAGATGATTGATTGATTGCCAATTTGTGGTGAAGATGATTGATTGATTGCCAATTTGCAGGGGGGGGACTCTTTACACTTCACCTGTTATGAACTGAACAGATGCGGCGGCATTGGAGCTTCGACCGCTATCGAAGTCGCGAAGAGGAGATTGTGAAGAAGAAGGTTTGAAAAAGACTGAAAGAGAGATGAAAGGTCAGTTATGGGAGAGAGAGTAGGAGCTCTCATGCTCTCTGAGACGAGGACACGTGTCATGTCATCATGGCTGCATTATCGAACGACACAATGAATTATCGCCGGCATGCGGCAAGATGAAAAAGACGACGACAACGACGACGGCAAGTCCATGTCCATATTCAAGCCTGAAGTCAGCTTGTAGGTGGCGACGATCTCATTTATCATGTGTTTGGCTTTATTGAAGTTTATTCCCTTTGGCAGACAAGGGTTCAATTCCTCATTGCACCCACAAATTGGGGGTTTTGCTGTTATGGATGCGAAACTCACCGAGAAGTTGACGTTGTGACTCGACATACAAATCGCCCACAGGATCTGAGACGTCTAACATGAAATCCAATCAAGTGGCCTAAATTCTTTTAAAGAGTTTTTGCCCCAACCGACAAGATCATCTGGTCGGTCATTCCGACACAACATCCACGACCAGATTTGGAGCAAGGATTTATACAATTTACATATTATTATTATTATTTTTATGTTCGTCGCTCGTCTCCCTCCACTACTTCTCCTTCTCAGTACCATTTGCGCTGCACCGTTTGCAAGAGCAAACTATCATCGCATATGATCATCGTTCTTTGAAACGCAATATTGCGTTTCAAAGAACTTTGCACGTAAACACACTTCATGACTTGTTTCCCGCAAAAAAATTTCTTTGTGCGCCAACGCAAATGAAGAATCGGGACAAACAAGACACTCACCTCCGACCGCTCCCGATTTTTATTTTATCTTTTATTTTTTTTGAGAACCACTCCCGATTTTAGATGTCTGCTGTACATGCATCCCAAGCTGAAGAATCGTGACAAACGAAGAAGCTTCAAATTTGGTCACATTGGGGACAATTTGGTCTGCTGAAGGATTGACATTCATTCAATTGCTTTGCTCCATATCAGCAGGAAAAAAAAAAAAAAAAAAAAAAGTTTTTTGTCCCCCCCTTTTTTTTATCTTCACACGACGGCAGTGCGGTTGTGACAGATTCAGATTCCGAACGCTGTTTTGTTCATCATCACACAGTGCTGCCAACCGTAGATCGGCAGTCTTTGTTCTACGGGGACAAATTTGAAATTTTGTCCACTTTGGGCAACTTGCAAATTTGTCCATCGGCAAATAAATTTGTCCATTGGCAGGGACAAATTTTGCTCGCAATAGTGTTTACTGTGTTTGACCAATTTCGTCAACAACTTGCCGGGGGGGGCAAAATACCTTTTTATCTTCTGACAAATCGTAGTAGATCGGTGGTACAAATTACACATTTTGCGCGCAACAGAGTGGTTGACCAACTTGGTCAAAAGTTGCGATGGTCCATCGGCTTGCATGCCGGGTGTGATATCTCGCAAGGTGTGCGAGAGAGTCGGACTTGGGTAGCAGAATATGGAGAATGGGTGGTTGGGGTGGATCTGGGAAGTAGGTACAAATGTTGTTGCACGCAATAGAAATAGAGCGAGTGTTTGGGAGAGTGAGAAAGGTGAATTTTGAATGCTGTCCTTCACAACAGCAGCATTTTGCCGCATAAGCCTTAAGGTAGATAGTACGCTGAATAGTACCATCTCTGAGAACTAAGTTAATGAATAGTGATGACATAAGTGGAATGATGCAGTTAGGGATTACAAGGTCATATTAAGGCGACTGACTCCCTTTTGGAGTTGCACTAGTGGATAAGGTGGATAAGGTGGATAAGGTAGGTGGATAAGGTAGGTGGATAAGGTAGATGGATAAGGTGGATAAGGTGGATAAGGTGGATAAGGTNGTGGATAAGGTGGATAAGGTGGATAAGGTAGGTGGATAAGGTAGGTGGATAAGGTAGATGGATAAGGTGGATAAGGTGGATAAGGTGGATAAGGTGGATATGGATAAGGTGGCCCCCTTTGACAATAGCATTAGTGAATAAGGTGGATAAGGTGGGTAGGGTTTACAAGGTGAGTTAGGTGAACCCCTTTTAAAAATAGCATTAGTGGATAAGGTGGATTGGGTGGGTAGGGTTACACCGCCAGTACATGGCCCCAGCCAAGTCAAGTTGAGAATCCGATTGAGCCTCTGCTAAAATTTTGGAGGCTTGTGGGCCATTGATAAGACAGATCGGCGGTGGGCGGCCTCCGAAAGGGCCCTGCGGCTGGCTGGCATGTACTGGTCCTTTAACAACGTGATAACGTCAACCCCTCTGACATTAGCATTAGTGGATAACAAGGTAGATAAGGTGGATAAGGTGGATAAGGTGGGTAGAGTTTACAATATGATATTAAGGTGAACCACTTTGAGAATAGCATTAATTTAGTGGATAAGAAGGGGGATAAGGCGAACGCCATCATATTTGAAAATAGCATTCAGTGGCATTCATCTAGTGGAGGGTATAGTATACAAAGAAAAGTTTAGTCTTTGGACTCGACATTGGTTCGTTCTTGGACTCCCCAAGGGCCAAGTTTTGGGGGCCAAGCAGGTTGGCAACATTTCAGCCCAGGCAGCACCCATATTTTGGCGACACCTAGGCTAAAAGTTTTTTTTTTTTTTTTTTTTTTTTTTTTTAAAGGCTAAAAAGGTATCTACTATCTTGCCTTGCCCCACAAGAATGGTTTGTTCTCAACACCCCTTTAGGCATCACCTAGCCCCAATTACGGGAAAGTACAGACTCTTTCAGCAGCAGTGATTACTAACCTGCGCTGCCTGAGGTTCTGCATACTAATGGCCTAGTGTTGTACCCACACACAGCAGGTACGATCCGTCTGCAGATGTATGTAGGTTCATTGTTTGTCCACCTAAGCTTAGATACATGGTGCATGTACAATCAGCATGTATGCTGGGCAGGTTCATTTGGATTGCTCTTTCATCCTGCTGCTTCCGCCATGCTAAGAAAAATTAAAATTTGTAAATGGAATTAAGTTCAATTAACTCCAGCATTCGGCTGGTCAAGTCAAGTATCTCAGACGACTGTGTCAGTCCGATCTCTCTATAAAGAGGGTCTGATCATGTCTCCTTGCAGTGATCGTATTTGTGTGCATGTTGTGTCTGTGTTTGCTTGCAGTTAAGTTGAAAGGGAGGGAGGGAGGGAGGGAG